CCGGCAGCGTGCCCCCTTCGCTTTCCCTGGCAGCCGTGAGGGTGGAGCCGCTTAGAGGCTTGGGGTGTGAAGGGAGCATGTCTTGGCTGGGGCGGGGGCAGGGCAGCCCTCAAAAGCTGCCCGTGGCAGGGCTGTGTGCTGAGGGGTGAGTGCCAGGAAAGGGGTACGGCTGAGAACACTTGCAGGGGGATAGGTGTGTGTGTGTGTTGTGTGTGCCTGGCTACGGTGGGGGAGGAGGGGGGAGCAGTCCTGGCCCAGCTCCCCAGGGGCTGACATGGCAGGCTGCTCTCCCCCACTGCCCATTGAGTAGGGCCCAAGCTACTCTGCGTGCGTGTGCGCATTGTGCGTGTGCTCACGGACGCCTTCCTCCCTTCACAGCCCCCACACAGGGAACATGCCCTGTTCCGTGACTGACACACCAGACAATTTCCCCCACCCCTTCTGATTCAGATGTTTAAATATAAAAATTCGCCTTATTCCTCCCTCCAGCAGCTACATCCTGAGCATGTGCAGCACGGACCCTCTGCTGCCCGGCCATGCCCCAGAGGGTCTGAAGACATCCCCCGCTCCGGTGAGCCAAGCCCTGGGAACTCCCCAGCAAGGGGCGAGGTGACCACGGAGGTCCAGCAGCCTCAAGGTGTTCTACTGCAGAGCGTGGGCATGACCCGCCCCGGCGAGTACAGCCACCCAGGTTACACAGCCAGGCCAAGTGAGGAACCCGGGCGTTCTGGCCTCCGGGGGGGTCTCTGAACCCCAGAGCTGGGAAGAGAAGCCAGGAGTTCTGGCTCTAGCCTCGGCCACCACCCGGATGGGGGCAGTAACGGACGCACTGCCGACGCCTGCCCTGCCCCGACCCATTGGACAGTCCTGCAGCAGAGCCCCCCCCTTGTCCCCCGGGAGAGAGACTGTGATCCGTGGGGATGTCCACAGCCTGAAGAGCCCGAACCCCGGCCGGTAAGTAAAGGAGAAACCGATTTCAAGGGACTGGCCTTACGAGGCCAAGCAACTGGCCTCTGCTCACCAAAATACTGAGCCTGTCGCAACCCGCCCTGAGCCCCACAGGCAGAGGCTGCAAAGCCCCAGAGGATTTGCCCTGGGGCGTGGGGGCCACCGGTTTGGCTGAGCACACAGCCCTGGGGGCCCTGCTGGCCAGTGGCTTGCAAAGTAGTGCAACGGGCCCCCCCCCGATGGCTGTCCTGCTCCCTGGGGTTTCCACACCCCTTCATTGTGCCGATTCCAGCTCTCCCAGAGCCTGGTTTTTTATTTCTATCCCAGTGTTTTCAGTGCCCCCCCCCCCCCCGCGGCGCTTTTTTGGGGCCGGGC